ATGCATATGAAAGCTGAATTTTTGGGGAATCTAGCAAGTATCGATATATTACTGTGGTTTTTTGTTCTTGCTTTTGGAATATGTAATAATATTTAAGAGGAAAAGAAGGCGTGACCCGTGACAAAACAAAGCGAACTAAATATGGAAAAAGGCGAGTAATTGCAAATCGCAGCACGTGAATCACTCTTGCTTACTGACTCGATAATGGATTAATTTTTCATCATGTTCGTTGATGCAACAACAACAACAACAACATCGACAACATTCCTAAATTTGGTCTCTAATGAATGCACATGTGATCGACTAATTAATCTGCACTTTTTTCCCACATTGATGCTTATTAGACGGTGAAGGTCGTTGCAAATTAGTACACAGACACACACGATTTTAACTCCTACACTTATATTTACACCATAATAATAATACGGTCCGCGGTGCGTGAAATTCGTGAAAAAAAAAAGTAATATTATTGCAAAGAAGGAAAAGTAATATAGAAACGCGTAATTGCGTTCTCATTGCAGAAGTGATGGTGAAGATGGACACTCGAATCAATCGCGTTTTCTATGATTGAGACGTTTCGTTAATGAAGTGGAGATTCTAAATGTAGAAAGAGCAAACAAAGATATTAATTACCAGCGATGCGATGCCGTAATTCAAATCCGCGTGAAAGTTTTCTCCACTTTGCCGTCGCGGCAAATTCCTCTTTTTTTTTTTCTTGTTGTTGTTGTAGTTGTGTTATTTCCTTTATTATTTTTGCTCTCGCCTCGACCAAGTGCAGAGCATCATCATCATTCATTTGATGCTGCTGCTGCTGCAGCGAGAGTACAGTTGCCGCATAATTGACCCCAAAAATTTCTTCTCGAACCTGTTGCTGCCGCTTGTCGTTTGCCGAAGACGTAATTTAATTTAATTGGGATGCATCCAACCAATCGATTCCATAATTGATCCATCAAATCGATCTCGCGTTATTGTTGATGTTTCTGTTGTAATTATTGGCGTTATTCTAATAAGGAAATCGAAATCGCGCCAAATCGAAGGCGGGAGACCTTATTTTAATGTTGTACAAATTGTATATGGTACGAGAAGAAGGTGGAAAGAAAGTGTTTTTCTTTCAAATTAATAACGACTTTCTTCGTATGCGTTCTACGTGAGACACTTACTTAATTATTAATAGTCGTCTGGTGATGGTGTTGAGCGTATTCAAAGCAGGAAGTCTTGTGTTCCATATTAACTAAACGAAATGCAAAAAAAAATGAGTTAATTTTATTTAACGCACATATTAAAAATGTATTTAAATTTGTAAATAAATGTATATTTTTAATTGAAATTAATCGTAGTGAAGTTTGTAAACTATTCATTTTGAGAACAATCTTTGTAATGATTTAAAGTTTTGACTATAGATGGAAGAACCTTTTTTTCTCTCGCTATTAACGCAAAAATAAAACAAATGATTTAAATTTGCCATCAAAAAGGTATATTTTCAATTAATCACAATGAATTGTCCAAAGAACTAGTTGTAACTTTGTAAACTATCATTTACGTACCAGCGGCGGATATATCCGCCCTATCCTTTACACTGTATTTAATTTAAATGTTACATTTTGTTTTTTCGTTTTGTTCTTATTTGCATGTAGAACATTGCTGATGATTCTATAGAAAATGTCTTCGTTTGTAAATGTTTTTTTGTAATGATTTAATGTTGTGACGATAGATGGAAGAACCTTTTTTTTTCTCGCTATTAACGCAAAAATAAAACAAATGATTTAAATTTGCCATCAAAAAGGTATATTTTCAATTAATCACAATGAATTGTCTAAAGAACTAGTTGTAACTTTGTAAACTATCATTTTCGAACGACCGGCGGATATATCCGCCTTATCCTTTACACTGTATTTAGTTTAAATGTTACATTTTGTTTTTTCGTTTTGTTCTTATTTGCATGTAGAACATTGCTGATGATTCTATAGAAAATGTCTTCATTTGTAAATATTCTCTCTTTTTTTTTGTAATGATTTAATATTGTGACGATAGATGGAAGAACCTTTTTTTCTCGAAGATAACGCAAAAATAAAACAAATGATTTAAATTTGTCAACAAAAAGTTATATTTTCAATTAATCACAATGAATTGTCTAAAGAACTAGTTGTAACTTTGTAAACTATCATTTTCGAACGACCGGCGGATATATCCGCCTTATCCTTTACACTGTATTTAGTTTAAATGTTACATTTTGTTTTTTCGTTTTGTTCCTATTTGCATTTTCTATGGAAAATGTCTTCGTTTGTAAATGTTTTTTTGTAATGATTTAATGTGGTGACGATAGATTGAAGAACCCTTTTTTTATTTTTTTCGTTGATATTTACAATTCAAATGATGTAGGAATGGTAACTGCGGGGAAAGGTTCTCTGCTCCCCTCTTCTTCTTCTTCATCCTCCTCCTCGTCCGTCGCCTTCTCTTGAAGATTTATTGGGCGCAATTCAGTAATTATGTAAAGGCATCTTGCGTCCGAGTACGCATCGAGATTCTTCAGCAAGTTTGTAGGCTATTGGGACAAAGAAGACACATACATGACCAGTATCATGTTATACCTGATCTCTCTCTCTCTTTCTCTCTCTTTATTTCACTGTTTTTCTCTCTTTGTTTCACGTATGTAGACATTCATATAGGCACGATCACGTCACCTCCTTTTCCAGTTTGTATTATTCTTTTTTTTTTTTTTGTAGTTAAGTTTATGTGAAATAAATCTCGAAATCGTTTCACCTGTCGGAAGTCGGCAACTATTGCATAGATAAGACGTTTGAATGCGTTAAAAACCATTACTCCACTTAGATAATAGGTAGTGAACGAGTGCGGTTGAGAGTGCAAGAGAGAAAGAGATAGAACTAAAACGGGGCTTTATTGGAAGGAGCGCAGGACTCGCAATTATTATTATGCCTTCTCTCGTTTCCGTTTCTGCGAAATTCTTCTCATCATCTACATCATTCTCATCTTGTCTACCGAAAGACGAAACACTGCAGTAATGAGTCGAGAGTTGAGGGTAAATATTGTAATTTGCACAAGTAGACAATCCCGACAATCCGTCGGATCCACTAATTAGATAACATATTTTATTTTTTAAACTTAATTGGATTCCCGCATTTATCGTTTCGCCGACAACAAAATTATTATTTTATTCTATTATTTTAATGATTCCCTCTTTGTATTTACATCTACGAAATACTCATTAGTTTCTGTAATTGGATTTCAATTACAACTAAATATCTGTTAACTAGGTATGCTCAATAATTCAATAATTGTACTAATTATTTGTCAAGTAAAATTTGTTTCATAATCCAGTAATTATTAGAATTATTGAGTTTCTATACTCAATATAACACATTTTGATGTTTCTATATTAATAATTATTTAGTTACTATTGATTTTATTATAATATTTATCAAAAAAAGTTACATTAATTAATAATTAAAAAATTGTTTATCAATTCTATAGTTTAGTTATTGCTTAATTATAAAATTTAGTATTGTAATTATGGTTGAATTACCAACATTATTATCACTTTAAATTTATTAAAAGTTGCAACAAATTCATTTATTTATACTTAATTGTATATAATTTAATAATTCTCTCAAATATATTTCTCAAGACTCAAACAAATAAGTGCATGTCTACTACAACTTAGATATTATAATTATGCATAGTGAAACTGTCGATTTAGCAATCAATAAGAAACTTCGTGAATTACGATTAATGCAAATCTTGAATAATTCTAATGAATATTTATTGGAAATCAGCTCAGAAAATTTACGACCGTAATTAATGGTCACATTAATGATAATAATATTTCTTTTAATTTCGTTGTTGTTTTGGAGAGCGAAAAAGAAAAAAAAAAACTATACGGTAATAAAATTAGTAGTCTACTTTGCTCGCCAATTCATAATGAACTTCAGATTTTGTAATTGTAAGGTAATTGCGACGTTGTTTCATGACATAATATATAGAATAAAAGCGATATAAAAAAAAAAGAACTTGTATAATATCGTGTAATTTATGCGTGCTAAACGGATTTACAGTTAACTAAATTATCCTTTTTACATTCCCTTTTTTTTTTATTTCTTCTCGGTTTAATAATTGGAATGGATTCAGCGCATGGATTGACTTTCAGACACTGTTTCTGACTTGTCTTGATTGATTTGTTGGGTGCGAAAAACAGAAATGCAGAACTAATTTATTGTAGCGATTCTCTTTATAAATTATATATGTTATAGCTTCAATCGCGATTGATGTTAGTGTTAATTAATCCAGTTTCCATGGTGATTTCATTTGTTTTAAATTTACAGTTTTGTTTTGTTTAATATTTATGTAAAAATTATAATAATTTATTCAAGTAAATTTAACAAATTAATTTCAAAATTAAATAAATTGATGAAATTAAAAAAAAAAAAACATCAATTTGATGATAAATTTTCATAGATAATAATTAGTTCTAATGAGCTGTGAAGTGTTCAAATTTTGTAATTGACATATTTTATTTTATTTAATTTTTGTGACAACTTGATTAATACGATTAGAAATCATAGCAAGTGCACACAACAAACTCAACTCAACTCAGATGTTTTCAGATTTCATCAGCGACTTTGATTTTAATCTCGATACAAATTATGATTTATTGAAACATCAATCATCTCTCTTTCTCCACCGTTTGTGTAGCGTTAAATTTATAAAATTGTCTCTAAATGACAGCTGTCATCATTTGCTGTCATCAGAACTTCAAAAATTGTTTGCAAAAAACAATTGGGTCGCACGAATACGTAGAAAAGGTTGAGAAACACTGAAATTTGAATGGGAATTAATCGTTTAGTGAATCGGGGTTAATATTATGATATTGTCGTGGGTTTTAATTTGTTTATATTACATTTGCAAAGAAAATTGCTCGTATGAGATATTGGTCAACGTCGGCATTGCTCAATTTCCCCTCCTAGGTTTCGAGAGAATGTTTGGTTTCGCTATGCGTCGTTTCGTTATTATTACGTTTTGTTTCTTCTTCATCTTTTAATCTCGTGAAGTGCTGCAGACAGACTACAGTCTACAATTTAATCGCGAGTTGCGAGCGAGCGAATGCGCGATTGGTTTGAACGTGTAACGGGGTTTCGGGGGAAATGTGGGTCCCGGATTTGTGTCACCCAGCAGCAGCAGCAGCAGCACCAACAAACAGCAAAGGCAACGGCAACAGAAGAAGTGAGGTGGTGGCGGAGGCTGCTGCGGCTTCAGCACCGGCGGCAAAACTCAACTCAACCTCTTCTGCGGATAGTAGTAGTTGCTGATCTTTCGTCGTCACTCTGTGCCCCTCGCCGATAACTCGTTCCTCTTCTCATACACCTGTTGTTGTTAACAATACTTACTGTATACATACAAGTATACTAGCACACACGCTCGAAACAATCGACCGATTATCAAGTGGGAAGCAGATTAAAGACGAGGGGAAAAAAATTGAACAGCAACATCTAGAACAAACAAGAACATTAATACACACACAAAGTTATATAGGAAAATACGGACAATTTGTGATTTCGTGCAGTGAAACATTTTTATTTTTCTTATACAAAATCTATATGTTTACTTGATTATAGTTAGTATAATTAATTAGTTTATTTTTCTCAATTATGGTAAGGTGAATTTTTAATAATTACGAACGTATGAATCCAATCAATGTTTTCTATCTTTCAATCAAAGAAATTACAAGTTTTTACCATTGTTCCAATCAATTAATTATGAAATGTGTATTTTTTTTACTATCATTGTGAAAAACTAAGTTAAATATTTATTATTTAAGAAATAGATTAAACAATAATTGATTGAACTTTCTTCTTCGAATTAATAACAATAAATTTGATTTTTTTCCTCAAATCAAATGAATGAGAATATTCAATTAATTCATTCATTCAATCATATTTTATTTATGAAATAAAACAAGCAATAAATCAATGCTTGCATTGATTATTTTGTTTATTTAAATGAAATGCATTTACAAATTTTAACATTCGATAATTTAATTTATTTAAAAATTTTGTTGTAATAATTGATAAATTAATTAATAAATTAATGGTAACTGCGTGTGAAATCTGCAATTACTTAATCGCGGAATATTTCAGTTCCAATCAATGTGCAAATTGCAAAATGCGAATGAATGTTGCAGCAGAATCCTGAATAAATGAATCTGCGAATCGAGAGTTTCTGCAATCATTACTTACGTCGTCCGTGCTTATTATTAATTGGCGAATATTTCAATTAATTGATTTACGATCACTTAATTACATACGTTTCCATATATATTTATATAAGAGAAAGAGAGAGAAGATAGGTTATCCGAATTAATTTAGAAAAAGAAAGAAAAAAATACTGATAACCACAATCAATCAGGTTTACATTACATAATTTGTTGTTTTTCAATAATATTTGTTTAAAATAAGTAACGTTATCTGCAATTTAATAATTGAAGAAATAATTAAGAACGTTTTTCATTGAAATTAAGTTAATTAAATAATAATTACAACGATTTGTCGAAAAGATGAAATAATTGATTTCTGCAAATTATTTTCGTAATTAATAATTTAAATTGAAACTAACGGATATTTGAAGATTATACAAAATAAAAAAAATCTATTGATGGATTATCAAAAACATTTTGGATTTACTGGTTTACTGTTGGATTCTAACTGTAATAAATAAATTAAGTTCCAATTTTTTTTTTTTTTTGAATATTCAATGCGAAGGAGAAGTTTTATAATATAGATATTTTGTTGGGAGTTGCAACAATTTGCATGATAATTTATCGATTACGTAAATTATAGTGCGCCGAGCGATTCCATTGATTTCGAGACAAAGGTGATTTGATTTACCGATTTTCGCCTATAAATAAACGCGTAATTCACTTGTTTGTTCGCATTTCGCAGCACTCTTCTTTCTATCCTATCACTTGAAGCGCTTCAAGAAAGTTACAAAATTTTAGTTGAAATTATGCTTGCATACATAATGATATGTTTGGTATAATCGTTTAATATCATTCGGTTAATAAATGGGTTTTAACTATATAGATGGGTTCATTTCCCTCCAGAATTGATCAGGTGACATAGTAAACTAGTTTCAGAGCCACCCACGTTGGTTTTCATGCTGCAACATCACGAAAGTGGATCAATAATTGTTAATTTATGTTTTCTTACATTAAAAAAAAATTAGTTTATAAATTAAGTAATATGAAGTGTGCATGTGTTGCGAAGTCGCTAATACATAATAATGATAATAACTGTTTTGGAGAATTTATTTTTTATTGTCGATAAATTATAGCGGGATAAAAGGAGAGACAGTAAAACGCGACGTTTTATTGCCACCGCGAAATGTTTCTCACTATATAGTAATAGTAATACATCAATTATTAGTTGATAGTTTGAATATCAATTCGTGTTGAGAGGCATGTATATGTTAGGGATTTATTATCTGCAATGTTGCGAGTAGTACGAGGACAGAGGTGAATGCGATCTAAATAATAATTAAATTCCTCCGATATGTGAATGTCCGCCGTCTGTCCGTCTCCATGTCGGATGCAGAGCGTGCGCTTATTGCTATGTAGTTGGTAACGTAACAGTTTCGGAGTTCGGAAAATGTACAGTAAGAGAAACATCATCATCAAATCATCATCTTGATCATCGTTCTCATCATCTTGCTCTGGAGGTTGAGGTCCGTTTCGGTCACTGGGTTACCTATGCCTTATGGCTTTTAATAGGACAGGTGTTATGGTAATTCTTCGGAGAACCAGATTCGCGCTCTCCGAGGCGGAGCTTCGTCTTGAACGCAAGAAGGAATCGAAACGAAATACATACAAAAAGAAGTAAATCCGTTCAGAATGAAACTAATTTAATTTAGTGAACTAATAATAATAATGGATCGATGAAATGGAAATCGGTGCAGACGTGTGGTGCGCATTCCAATTGGAACGACGAAGAAGAAAAGTAAATTTTGTTGTTGTTGTTCGAATTCCTGCAGCGGACGTTCGGCTTCCTGCACGAAAATCAAAACTCAGGAAATCACCCATTACCGTAGAGGGTATTAAGTGAAACTATTTAACTAATCGGTGTCAATTACGCGTCGCATCTCTATAGCATTCATATCGGTCAGCGTATTTGCATGTTTCCAAAAATCGATTCAACTTTCTATAAAGTTTAACGTACATTTCAATAAGAAACTCAAATTTAATTTTCTTTACTAATTAGAAATTGGCTTAAAATTTTTATAATAAAATTTCAAGAAGAAACTTAAATTTAACATCTTCAGTCGAAGACAAAAACTAATTAGAAATTGTCTTATAAATTTACGTGTAATTATCTAATGATTAATTCTTATAAGAAACTAAATCTTCGGTAATAAAATTCCAATAAGAAACTTAAATTTAACATCTTCAGTTGAAGACAAAAACTAATTAGAAATTGTCTTATAAATTTACGTGTAATTATCTCATGATTAATTCTTATAAGAAACTGAAATTTAACTTTTTCAATTGAAGACAAAAAAAACTAAATCTTTGGTACTAAAATTCCAATAAGAAACTTAAATTTAATATCTTCCTATAAGAAACTGAAATTTAACTTTTTCAATTGAAGACAAAAAAAAAACTAAATCTTTGGTACTAAAATTCCAATAAGAAACTTAAATTTAACATCTTCCTATAAGAAACTGAAATTTAACTTTTTCAGTTGAAGACAAAAAAAACTAAATCTTTGGTAATAAAATTCCAATAAGAAACTTAAATTTAACATCTTCAGTTGAAGACAAAAACTTAATTAGAAATTGTCTTATAAATTTACGTGTAATTATCTCATGATTAATTCTTATAAGAAACTGAAATTTAAATTTTTCAGTTGAAGACAAAAAAAAACTAAATCTTTGGTAATAAAATTCCAATAAGAAACTTAGATTTAACTTTTTCAGTTGAAGATAAAACTTAAGTAGATGAACTTCATGAAAATCTTTCTTTATAAACTTCTATTAAGTAGAAATTGTCTGAAGACTTTAGTAATATTAAGTTTCTCTATGTAGCAAAAAAAAAAGTGTGAACATCCTTTGGGAAAGTTTAAGTCGATTAACGTCATCATCATTCGATCGAATTTACTTTGATCACAAATCAAAACGTAAATAAAATGTGTCATGTGATGAGAAAACAATCTGAAAAGTGGCAGATGTTCAACCGAATTAGTTAATTACTTCATAAATATTCATGGAAAAGAGTAATTTTTAATAAACGGAAGCTTAAATTCTACTATAATTATTAGTATTTTCAGCGCCAGAAAGTTTTTGTATATTTGGTAATATTTTATGTAGAAATAAACATACATTTTAGTTGAACTTATTGCTATTAAAATGATCATTTCTAGTGCCAACAAAAAAATGTTGCTGCTGTATATTTACAAGTGTTTTTATGTTGTAATAAATTTGTTAAACATTTACGTTGGAAAACGTATGTTAAATAGACGTTTAGAAACGTTTGAAATGAACATTCGTTCTGTATATATTAATAATATGACTTTGATTGCATGTGTTTTCCAAAAAAAATCTTTACAACTTTTACTCGGGGAATTTCATCTGGCAGATGTGTGTGACGGGATTATTATTATTTGATGCCAACGTTCTTTCTAATAATATTTACAATGATTTATTCTACTTTTCTTTAAGCGTTAAAATAATCATTTTGATAATGATATTATTTAGTTTTATGTGGTAATAAAAGCAGATTTATAAATGAATACACACTTGTAATATTTAGTTTGTTAGGTTAAATTTAAATAATTTGAACGCTTTTTGTGCAATAAATAACTTATGTAAATAGAAAAAGTAGTTTGAAGGTTTTGCATCGGTCGGTGAATATGAATGGGAATGCGCGTGGATAAGTGTTTATTAAGTAGGGCGCCCAATAACTGTAGGATTTGCTTGCGATTGATGTCGGAAATTCAATTGGAAAATGACGGAATTTGTTGCTGCACGTATACAATATACATTTATGAAATTTAAACGTTCGTAGAACATGTAGGAATGTAACGAAAGGTTGAACTGGATTCCATTGGAAAAGTCTTCCTCGTTGAAGATAGAAAACATTGATTGGTTCGCGTTGCGTAATATATACTAGTGGATGTGTGTGTTTGTTAATTTGAATTTCGGAAAGTAGGCGTGAAAAGAACAAAAAATTTAAAAGCATGGGAACGGAAACGATCATCGATGGAGCAGCAGACGGTGGATCGAGTGCGGATCTGCTGACCCAATGGTTGGATTCGTTGGAGACGAGATCCTCTCTATTCTGGCTGCACTACGTCGAGTGCAATTCGAGGTCCTCTTCGTCGGAGGCGTCGGAGGATGCGGAAAAGGAGTGCTCTTCGTGTTCGCCGATCGTTCAGTGCAAGTCTATAGCGCACAGAGACTCTGGACTGCTTCTAGCCTTGACCGAGAACTGCACTCTCGGCCCGGTGTGTTACTTCTGCAGGTAACAACAATACGGACCTAATGAGTTATAAGTGTGTGTATGCATGCATGCATACGATGGACAGAGCGAAACTGCTCTGCTCTTTCCAACTCCTTTGAAACTTCTTTCGCTGCTGCTGCTGCTTAGGCCGTTCCCTCAGCACGTATTTATACACAATAAAATGCATTCCTCGTGTTGTTAAACACGGCCTTTAATCGTTCTCCAATCCAGAACGACATGCGAACTAAGGAGCGAACGATCCGCAGATTTATCAGGTGCATAATTTCCTCAACCTAAAACCCTTCTACTTCGTCGTCGTCGTGCATTCAATTCTTAACCGAACAAACTTTGTTGTTGATGGATTCGGTAATATGAAATGTCAAGCCGCCGCCGTGAAAAGAATCACTAAAATTTACGTTTTGTTTTGTTCTTCCTTTCATTCTTCCCGTCTTTGCTTTCGTTCTTCACTTTTATTCTTCATCCTCCAAATGGCATTTATTAAAGAGACGGACGACCTCCTCGCATACTAATGCCGTCTTATTTATTTATGAACAATAGAACAAAACGCACCCGAAACTCCTTCTGTATCTTGTGAAATATACTTAATAATATTCCTCCACGTAATTTACGACTCATTAACAGTGTAATTATTTTAAATGCCTTCCAAATCATCAGTTTTTCTCTCTTGTACTTAAATAATACGTAATCATTAAAACTATATACTTTTCAAGTTCTTTAGTGTATTGATATGAATACCTTTGACGTTTACGATAATAATTGAAATCTAACAATATAATGATTGATTTCAATGATTACTTTAGTAATTTGTTGTTAAATAACCAATGATAATTTGCGTTTTTGGGTCTCTTCGCGAAAGCGAAATCTCATCTCTCCAGGCAAATCTCTCCATCTCACCATGATCGTACGAACATGATCTCTTCTGTCTTGGACGTGCACACGCAATTTTCTCATTTCAGTAGTCTTCGTTTCGTTTCGAAGTTTAATTATCCAAGCGGAAACAATAATCCGAGTGACCATATACAGAGTATTAGTAGTAGTAATAGTAGTAGATTCGAAATGGAAAGTGAGCGAATTTTTTATTATTTAAATGCAAATTGGATTTGCTTCTTCTTTTCGTATCTTTCGCAGCTGATTTTCTCCACAATTTTTACGTTTTCAGTTGATCTTTCTCTTTACAGTTCTTATTTTACATTAACTTTTGCTGATTGTTTCATATACATTGTTATTATTTTAAGTGTAATTATGTTTACTTCAATTGTGAATTGAAATTATGTTGATTTTTTTTTTTGTGTTTACTGAATAAACACCAGTGAGTGAGAATCGTGTAAATATTGACTTTTGAATGTGTTTGTTTCTTGTTGCAGCAAAAAGAATTCCATCGTGTTGCGGACGCAGCTTTCGGTCAGAGTTCACACCATTATAGGTGAGTTTTTTTTTCTTTTCTTGTTCTTGTTGTAATAACGATGCGTTCGTTAAGTAATGAAGGCTTTGATTGAAATTTCCTATTGAAACTGGAGTATTCCATTTTCTTCTTTGTCATCGTTTTGATTAGAGAGTAGTGGTAGTAGTAGTGCGCATAGAGTTCATAGTTAACTGTACGTGCGAAGAGGTGAAGTGAACTGAATGGATTAGAGAACAGCGCAAGTAGATGAACGTCATGGATGGACACATTAATTATGCGATAGATGAGATTTCCTTCGTCCTTTTATTTCACTTCTTTTTTGGATGTGGAAAACGTGTCTGCCCTGTGTTGCTCCGCGAGATTTAATTAAGAACGGTCCATCATCTATCCATCCATCCTTCCAACAGCTTTTGCCTCTTCGGCAAAATCCGACCGAATGGAGTTGCGAGCGACCGCGAACGTCTTGTGTGGAATCGCAGCTTTTCTTTCTTTCATTTTATTTCTTGGTTGGAAAAGAGGAAAAGACGACCCATACCCATTATTAACGGTGTGCCCACACTCGGTCGCTTGCCGTATGTCACGCATTTTATGTATTTATAGACGCACACGACGATGCACGTACAGGGTTTTCCATTAATTCAACCCATTTCCTTTCCAATTGTTGTTACTGCTGCTGCTGCTACATTCTACATCCTGAACATCTAACATTCTACAGTGTAGATACATTTATCAATCAATGATTAATTTAATTAGATCAACAAGAATTACCTTTTCATGCTCTTCAGAAAGACTCTGCATGTTTATTGTATTCAAGCAATTATTATTTCTTTCGCATTCATCGTTTGGTTGCGGTTTGAATGATTGAATTTGTGGCATTTGTGCGGTTTTCATACACAAGTGATGAATTATGAATATTCTTTTTCATCTTTTGCAGAGAAACTGTTGACGTCGGAAGGTAGGGATTTGCGGAGGGCACTCTTCTCGTTGAAGCAGATCTTCCAGGAGGACAAGGACCTGGTGCACGAGTTCGTGCAGAACGATGGACTGACTTGTCTGATAAAGGTCGGCTCCGTTGCCGATCAAAATTACCAGAACTACATTTTGCGAGCGCTCGGACAAGTCATGCTCTATGTGGACGGAATGAACGGCGTCATGGATCACAACCAGACGGTCCAATGGTTGTACACGCTGATCTCCTCCAAGTTCAGATTAGTGGTGAAGACGGCTCTCAAGTTGCTGCTGGTGTTCGTCGAATACACAGACTCCAATTGTAAACTGTTGATTCGAGCAATACAAGCGGTGGATTGCAATCAGGGTCTGCTACCGTGGCACAACATCATGAAACTCCTGAAGGACTTCGATTCCGCCGACACGGAGCTCCTGATTTACGCCACCACCCTGATAAACAAATGCTTGAACGGCGTGCCGGATCAGGACACCTACTACGATCAGACTGATGCGCTGGAAGAGCAGGGAATCGAGAATATTATCAAGAGGTACATGTCGAAACCGGGCACGGATTTGGATCTGCTGCAGCAGTTTCAAATCTATGAGGCGGTACTACAGTACGAAGACGGCGAGGATAAGGGCACGCCGATCAGGCATTTGGACGAGAGCATCCGGAAGACGCTGATGAGCAGGAAATCGTTGATAGACTCTGCGGAGAGGCGAAAGAGCCGAAGACATTCGACCTGCACCACGCCAGTCCACGGGAATCTGAACAACAATAACGTGATTAAGAGCACCCCGCTGCTGTCGAACAACGAGGAAGACGATGAATCCTCCAGTTCGCAATCCTCGAACGGATTGAACCAAATGAACGGAAGCTACAGAGATTCCAGTAAAGGTAAATTATTTGTTGCACAATTATTGATTGATTCGACGATAATGTTTGTGTGTGTGTGCTTTAGGTAACGATGTGGGGGTGACTCCTGCTTTGAGGAGGAGACGTGAACGAGCCGAAAGACAGAGGAGTTTCATGAAGGAGCAGCAGGAGAACGCTAACCTTTTGCGCAGCAATTCGACGACCAATTCGGATGACATCAACGAAAATGGTACTATAATTAATTGATGATGATGATGATTACTATATTTTTGTCGTTGTTGTTGTTTTTAGGTAATTATACGAACGGTCTGCAACAGAGATTATCGAACGGCAATAACGTGCTGAACAGAAATTCGAGTCGCAAAGATCTGACACCGTACTTGAACGCCGTGAACAAGTTAGATTCTGAGGAGAACAATGGTCTCAGTAAGCAGCAGCCGTGGATCATGTACAAAGACGACCAAAACAACGACCAGGAGAACGACGAAGATTCGGAAAACGCGAACGAGAACGATCGAAAAATGCTGATCCAACTGAAGAAGGAGAACACAGTGAAGGATCTCACGCAGAAGCTCTCGAACCAGAATATCCTTCTGCACAGTCCCTCCTCGGAGGACAATAAAATAAACAGGATAGAGGGAATGACCGGTTTGATAAGCAAGGCCAAAGAGGGTTTAGCTAAATCCAAGTCGCAGGCTAACGTCGTGAAGAGCGCGACAGGCGACAACATCCCGAAAGTCGTCGAGGTGAAGAAGTCGGAGAACGAGCTGAGATGGGAGGAACTCGTATCGGGGATGAGCAGACCGCTGAATCTCTGCGACATGGACTTTACGGATTTGGGATCCGAAGATGAGGCAGACATCCTGGCTCCTGTCACAGTGACGAACGGTATACCGCCGCCTCCGCCACCTCTGGACGTGGGCGCCGCTCCACCGCCTCCACCCAGATTCGCACCGCCTGTCCCCAGTCCTCCAGTCTTCGGCATCAACTTGCAGAAAATGTCCAACAAACCCACCGAAACGAAGATCCCCGTCAAGAAGAACAAGAAGACGGTGAAGTTGTTCTGGAAGGAGGTACGCGATGAACCCATGCAGACCGTCAAGCTGAAAACTGGGTACATCTGGGACGAGCTGAATCCCGTCTCAGTGGACACGCAGAAGCTCGAACATCTCTTCGAGTCCAGGGCTAAAGACCTCATTAACAAAGTAAGATTCGCATTCATTCGCAGTTGTTGATATTATTGTTGTTGTTGTTGTTGCTGCCGTTGTTGTTGTTATTCAGAGAACGACGTGCGTGAGAATTTCACGTTCGCAATTCAGTATTATTATCATTATTGTTACATTAATCAAGCGATTCACACGGTTACGAATGCAATGAGAAAATATTTTAATTATGTGGATTTACTCAAGTTGCGAATAATTTTTCAATTCTCTCCACTTCTTGCGAATTAACCCAGATCGCAATTATACATCTAAACCATTAATTTTTACCCTCTTCCTCTTTCCATTATAATAAGCACACTCACTCTCTGCCATCTTTATCAAAACTTTATTTTAATATTTATTTAGTACAAGAAACATTAGTACCTGCAATTGCTTAGCCAAAATAGTAATTTTAAATTAAGATAATTTAGTGATAAAGATTTAGTAGATAATTAGTATTATTTTTGTTGTTGTTGTTGTTGTTGTAAATATTTGCCTGCTAATACGATTTTAACTTTATTAATTTAATTAGTTTATTAATTTGCTTCCAATTAATTGATGATTTTTTTTTCTCTATTTTTTTTTTAATATTTTTTTTTTCAACATCGTTTTATTTTTTTATTCTTTGGTGATCCGCACGTGGCATGTGCCGTTTTTCTACAGGAGGTGAGTCAGATTCTCCGTTGATGGTGGTGGTGTCTTTTTTTCTTGTTTTTATTTATTTCTTTCTTTTTTTCCACACATTTTTCTTGACTGTACACTCTTCCACTCGTTTTTCTTTTGTTTCCACCAAAGAACTTTTGTCTTTTGTTGCACCAATTAGGGAAAGAGAACTTTTTTTTTACGTATTATTTGCATGGGTGTATTAGTATTATTATTATTATGTATATATTATTTTGTTTTGTTTTTTCTTCTTTTTCGTATAGATGTATATTTGTACGTAGGGCATGAAGACTATTATTGCCTCCTCTATACTTGTTGACTATCTTTTTTATTTTTATATTTATTTCTTTGGCAGGTTTCTTATTTGGTTGTTGTTGTTGTTGTTGATGTTGAATGTTTTTATTTTGTTTCTGTTGATTTCGCGTTGTGGAGATGCGTGTTTAATTGATTTTGTTGTGTGTTTTTGCAAATTAGAAGCAGCAAGAGTTGAACAAGAACAAGGAGATCATCGTGCTGGATCCGAAGAGGTCGAACGCCATAAACATCGGAATGACGAAGCTACCGCCTCCCAGATCCATAAAGACTGCCATCCTCAAGATGGACGCAACCATCATGAATCGGGAAGGTATCGAAAAGCTGCTGACGATGCTTCCCACCGAAGAGGAACGAAGCAAGATTCAGGAGGCGCAAGCCGCCAATCCCGATTTACCACTGGGAAGCGCCGAACAGTTCCTTCTCACTCTAGCTTCGATCTCCGAGTTGCCGGCACGTTTGAAACTGTGGGCCTTCAAGTTGGACTTTGAGAACACGGAAAGGGAGATTGCCGAGCCTCTGATGGATTTGAAGCAGGGCTACGAAGTACTCAGAATCAACAAGACCTTTCGGGGTATATTGAGCACTTTGCTGTCGATCGGTAACTTCCTGAACGGCAACGAGGTCAAAGGTTTTCAGATCGAGTACCTAAGCAAGGTGCCCGAAGTTAAGGATACTGTTCACAAGCACTCTTTGCTGCATCACCTGTGTCATATCGTGATGGAGAAATTCCCCGACGCAACTGACTTGTATTCCGAGGTAGTAACGATGTAAAATTATTGTCATGAACAATGTCTATTAAGTTCTCTTTGTTCGTTGTAGATTGGAGCAATTACACGGGCTTCGAAAGTGGACTTCGATGAGTTGGCTTTGAATATCCAGAGGCTGGAAGCGGATTGCAAAGCTTCCTGGGATCATTTGAAGCTGATCGCGAAGCACGACGGGTCCACCATGAAGTCTAAGATGATGGACTTCCTCGCAGATTGTGCCGAACGCATCATCCTCTTGGGAATCATACAGAGGAGAGTTATGAATAGGTAGAGGATTCGAAGAAAGAAACAATTCACTTTAATCATTTAATTCGATGCCGTTTTTTGCAGGTTTCACAAATTCTTGCTCTGGCTCGGAATACCGAGTCACCAAATCTCGGACAGCAAGCCAAACGAATTCTGCAGGATCGTCTCCGAGTTCGCTTTGGAGTACAGGACGACCAGGGAACGAGTGCTGCAGCAACTGGAGAAGAAAGCGAACCATCGGGAGAGGAACAAAACTCGCGGGAAAATGATCACAGAGGTGAATACCATTTAGCAATAATCATTTTATATAATCAATCGTTTGCAGACTGCCAAGTTTCGGACGACCGAGGATAGAGCCGACGCTGAACTGCGGCAACTCCTGGGCAGCGACATCTCCGACGTGGAGAGCATGCAGGGCACTCTGACGTTCAGGAGGACGAGGAAGGATGGTAACAGATCTTTGATGGGAACGATGAAAGGTCATCTGCACGACGGAGACGACGAGATCTTGGATTGCCTGGTGAAGACTGCAACGAAAGCTCCGACGTCGCGGACTGCTCCCAGGGAGAGGAAGAGGACCAGACACGCCGATAGAAAATCACGTAAGTGTCGGAATTTTTAAAAACAGTAAAAATCAAATTATTACGAGCAATCATGTTATTACAATATTCTGCTAATTTAGTAAAACGATCGAGAACGAGAGAGAATCCATTCGGTCACCGCGATTCTCCTTAAAATATTGTTGGTATGTGTTTTTGGTGTGTGCAGTTGCGTTGCGTTGCATTTCTTTTAGTTGTTGTTGTTGTTGTTGTTGTTGTTGTTGCTGTGCAAGGACAAAATATATATATATTCAAGCATGGATTTGAGCAAACGCCTACAAATGTTTCTAGCATGTCAAACGGATTTACCAGAGCATGTTTGATCAATTTGAAGCTGTTGTTGTTGTTACTATTATTATTATTATTACATCTTCTCTGACATTCAACTTTTAATAGAAATTTCTAATGCATTTTATCGTTTCAGTGAGAAGAACCCTAAAGAATGGATTATCCGAGGAGGAGAAGAAGCACCTCTCAATGTGCCTTTACTGACCGAAGAAAACAAACAAACAAAAAATGAAGCGAAACATTAAAACAAAGAGAAATCCTACTCTGCAAAAAACATATATATATTATATACAAACAAAAAATCATATATATTTTTTATGGAAATGTGGGAAACCGACTTCGTTTCTTCGGAATTTGATGATGTTTTTTTTCTGTTGGAATTGATGATTTTTTTTTTCTTTTTGTAATTATTATTATTATTATTTATGATTGATTGTTACATCTGTGCAGGATGTAAAATTGTATACTGATTTTATTATGTGATAGCCCCCACGCAACTATTTAATTCTTTTACTCTTTTTTTCCTTTTCTTTTTGTTTATTCTTTTATAATTATTTAATTACGATCGATTTCGACACTTTTGCAAATTATGGAAGAAGGAGTGCAGCGAGAAAATAAAGAAAAATAAGAAGGAAAAAAAAAATGATCTGAGAATGCAACTAACTAACTACAACTATTACTACTACTACTACTATTATGAAATATGTTTGGAGTGGAGAACGAAGGATAATCT